GAATTCAGTTAGAGGGGTTTACAATTAAATTCGTACTAGTAGCAATTACAATTAGAGAGCTCTCTAATTCAAGTTTTACAAGTAACAATTACGATTAGAGAGCTCTCTAATTTGATTCTTACTAGTAAGAATGTAATTGCAGAGCTCTTTAATTTAATTACAGAGCTCTGCAATAGCTTGTGGTTTCACATAACGTCACGCCACTGCCTTGCCATGGCGCAAAATGCAAATGGAGGGCAGGAAGTGATTTGCTGTATTTAGAAAGCACTATAACAAACTCAAAATGCCTGTGTTTTGAGTCATTTATAGTTACTTGAATCGATCAAACCACAAGGAGTTTTTATCGTGTACCAAAAGTTGTTATTCATAAGGGGTGAAAATGCTGGAAATTGATCGAAAAACTCTGGAAAAACAGCTTGCAAACCTGTAGTCGGGAGGAGCCGAATGGGATAATGCTCGTGTGTGTAACGTTAGTGATCACTTCGTCAAATGTGACTTAATACAACTTAAGTGACTGTTTGTGTAGCGTGTAACGTTTCCGAACTTTGTAAAGTCAAAATATGTCTGTAAGACGAGGTAGTTGCTGATATCTACAGCCTCGATGGCAGGAAAATATTTTTAATTCAGTTGAAAAATCGCTCCCCTTCATAACGTAAGGATCACATCCAACATGTTTGATTTTTTTTGTTTATTTCTTTCTCTTGTAGAAGTAGTACAATATGGACTTTCCTCCATCTTGTTTATTGCGCTCTTCACTCCCACCCCCCTCCATCTGAATTCCGCGCGTCATCATAATCACGTGACTGAAACCCAGCTGTTGCATTCTTACTAGTAGCCATTACATGCCCTTTGTACAATTAATTTTTCATTAAAGAGCTCTCAAATTGAATTGTTACTAGTAACAACTCAATTGCAGAGCTCTTTAATTCAATTAGAGAGCCCTCTAATTCAATTGTTACTTGTAAGAATGCAATTAAAGAGCTCTCTAATCCAATTATTACTAGTAAGAATGCAATTGCAGAGCTCTTTAATTCAATTACAGAGCTCTGCAATTATACATATCGTTAATTATTTTTTTTTTACTTGTTCAATTAGAGAGCTCTGTAATTGCATTCTTACCACTAAGAATTGAATTAGAGAGCTCTCTAATTGTAATTCTCTTACTAGTAACAATTCAATTAGAGAGCTCTGTAATTACAAATGAATGGAAGTCAATGGAGACATACACTGTAAAAATGAATATGCTTTATCTAATCAATAAAATTGTGGCAACAGATTACAAGCAATATTATTTATTAAATTGAGCAAATTAGAATTGAGTAATAGTTAATCAAATTAATATTCTAACTAATAATATTGCTTGTAATATGTTGCCACAATTTTATTGATTAGATAAAGAATATTATTTTTTTCAGTCTATGACTTAGTAAGAATTCATTTGTAAAGCTCTCCAATTAAATACTTGCTAGTAAAAATAGAATTACATTGAGTAAGGCTGGATACAATTTAAGCTAAAACGGCTTGCCACTGTACAGCCTTCTGAAGGATCCCAGCTTCGGAAACAAGTGGATGGTTTATTTTAATGGCGTCCCAGATTGCTTCGGGTGATGATATGTTTGTTCTGAGAATTTGACTGCAGATTGATTTATAAATGAGGCACAGAGTAATAGAGAGTTAACAACGACTTTTGTTAAAAGATGAAGCAGCCAATATTTGACGATTTTAAAATTGTAATGCCTGCTTGGCTGATTGTCGGTATCTGCAACACCATTGAAAAGCTATTCTTAATTTTTTTTTCAGCTTGGTGCAGTGCATTCTGGTCTTAGCTGTTGTAGGAGGCAGCATAATTAAGATTCCAAGACTCACTAGGCTTTGGAACACAACAGCTGTGTACTAGTAGGAACATTTAGATTGATTGGGCTTGCATAAGCTTGATTTGTTTCTTCGTTGATCTGATTCGAGCAAAGGAGCGAACTTCTTTCTTTCAGTCGATGAGATCTGGTTAGCTCTAGTGCTTAGCGCCACCATTCTTGATTGCTTCGGTCATGTGAACAGGAACAGCTGGAGCACCTCCGAGGACTAATTTTCACATCTCCATCGATCTGTGATTCATTGGTCCCTTTTTACCGTTGGCATCTGTGTCTGATTTGTCAACTGCAAGATGGATGCAGTTGCTGAGAGGTTTTAGCTTACTAATATCACTCGTTAACTGCATGGAGTGTCTTATTTTGCTGGAGGTGATGAATGCACACCTCCCCTTTATCAGTATGGGTAACACACACATGTACTGTATGTCTGTGTATTGGTTTTTCACTTTTTGAGATTAGAAGCTGTGCAAAATCATTAAACAAAATCCTTTACATCCAATGGGAGTGTGAAGAGACTGTGGGCTTGTTTGGGGGGGGGTGGCTCATGAATCCAAATGAAATTTTATGGACCAGTGGACCTCTTAATTGCCCCCCAGGTGTTATCTGTGCTACAGCTTAATCTCAACACGCATCCCTCTCGACTTTCTTTCATTTCCACCTCTCTTTCCCTAACAGCCAATAGGGACAAGCGATCCGACGAGGGGCCGTCACATACTGCTTGCCAGACAGATCCGTTTCGGGTTTGCCCTAGGCCTTAACCTCTCGCTCATCTGATAGTTTTGCATACTAAGTGAGTTACACTGTTTAAATTCTGTAGTCTGCAAACGCTTATTTTGAGACCCTGTCCCTAATGCCAACCTCAAACGTCCTATGCTTTGTCTTGTCTTGAAAGAAGCTTCTTATGTCCCCCAGTGTTGCACTTATTTGATCATAAATGGTTAAAAATAACATTGTGAAATATATCAGTTAATATATTAATTTTCAGCATCCATTACTTCAATTTTCACTGTCATAAGATCCTAACTCCTTAGTATGCTGATTTGGAGCTCAAGAAACATTTCTTATTATCAATGTTGAAAATGGTTGTGCTGCTTAATATTTTTGTGGAAACAAGGAGGTTCAAAAGAACAGTTTTTTTTTTAATAATAAGCATATTTACTGTTGTACTTTTTAATCAATAATGCGTCCTTGCTGAAAATAGTTTATTTTTTTCTTTTTACTGAAGTTATTCTTTATATTAACACACCTTGATGGTTGCAAACATGTACACAGGACACAGATCCATGAAAAAGAATGGGAAAAAGTCCAATAAATGGCAGTAGCAATCAAAAATCCCATTTATTTAAACAGAAACGCTTCTTTTGTCATGATTAATAATAAACAAATCTTAGGAAATTTGCCAGCTACAGCAGTGTGCAGGAAAAACATCTTGATTTAAATACTTGGGAGTTTTGTAGTAACTCTAAAATCCTTATTGATGAAAAAAGAAAGATTTTGTTTACTTGCTTTATAAATATATAAATACTGTTATAAATACAAACAGTGGCGTCATGCCCATTTAAACTGTGGGGGCACGTGCTCCCTCAGATTTTTCCTCCCTGATAATTTTTTTGTTAACTTTTTTAATATTATGCTCCAGAATTACCAAAGCCTATAACGACTCAAATGTATTCTTCTGGACGTGTAATAAATCGGTCAGCATCAGCCCACCCCGTTTTCCTAATATGGTGTCTGTGTATATAAAATATAGAGCTCTACGAAGCGAATTGAGATATTTTCACCAAATTTGGCACACACATGTATAGACTCATTCTGAGGACACATGAAAAAAAAAAAGTGGGATTTTGCCTCTTGGTGGCGCTATAATAGAACAAAACATGAAATTCCCATTGATTTCAATACAGTTTTGTGATGTAAAATGCTATACTTAACAAAAGCATTTGGTATAACATTATGAAACTCCATAAGAGTTAGCGCCACCTGTTGGTCAAAAGTTAAATTACATTTCCAAAAATGCTAATAACTTTGCCTAAATATGCCTATTGTAATGACACTGATCTTAATAGATTCCATGGGTCATGCCAAGGACATAGATACCAAGTTTGGCATATTTGGACTTTCTGTCCGCCATCTTGATTTTCATCGAATTCCTACTTTTCAAACTCATCCTAGGCCATTTGTCCGATTTCGAATCGTATCATCTCCAGACTATGATCAATAAAAGTTATGGATTTCGTGTTGATAGACGAAATCGTTTTCGTATACCGCAGCAGCATATTTGAGGCATGTGGCCAAAAGGACTACTCTGGCTTTATATCTGCAATGCCTCGACATATTGACCCCAAACTTTGTATGTGTCATTGTCGCCCTAACTTCGACCACACAACATCGATTTAGTAACTGCGCCAGCTACTGGTCGAAAGTGATAATCCATTAAATCATACTTCTAGTTAATGTACTCCCACCCATGATGGGACCCATCTGCACCCATCTGTTGCTGCTACTTTTGCTTGGCCCCGGTAATGGCTGCTTGCAGCTATATTTTTACACATGCTTCTGCTTGGATATGATATTGCTTGTTTCTGCTTCTTCACATGTCTTTTGATCAGGAGGTTCAGTACTTTCAGAAGATATCCTATAGCGTCCTCAACAGTGAAAACACGGAAAGCCGGAAATTGGCGGGAATTTCCCGTCAATGGCGGGGAAAGAGTATTACATTCAACAATATTAACAATATTACATTCACATTTGTATCCGCCATCTTTTCCCCTCTGTCACAAAACCCTGTCCTCTATGATTGGTCAAGACGAGACCGGTTGTATTGACTTTTGGTAAAATGGCACAAAGGGGGTATTTTGTGAGCTCCTTTTTAAGGGACATCTTACATTCTTGTGGCATTTATTTGTGCATTGCTTTGAAGTTCACAAAACAAATCCACAAAGTTTTGTGAGGCTTATTTATTTCAGGCTAGTTGAAGCACCAACTTTTCTGTGTGCGCAGTGTATTAGCAGGCTTAACAGAATCACAGATCTAGAATCACAGAATGTCAAATATGTCCTTGAAAATGTTTTTCTTTTTAAATAAAGTGTACTTTGCATAAACTATACATATGTCTGTGTTTCCCAGAAATATGCTTGGCCTGCGGCCGGTGGATTATGCACTGACTCCAGAAATGCAGGAGGTCCTAAGAATGGCCCCGGAAGCCATAACAACCACCCTGAGGCCCCGCACAAGCTTCGATAAGGTACACGACCCGAAACAAATAGACACACTGTAAACAAACAGACCAAAATTGCTGGTATTTTGCACTTTATCTTGTATGTTTCTTTTAGACCACATTTGTCAAGAGCATAAATGCAAATGAAGTGTGCGGTATTGTTTATTTGCATTCTTGCAGGCTGCAGGCTGTGTGCGGGAGACAGGTCCAGTGGTTTTGATTGGCAGTCAGCTGACGCAGACTCAGCAGAAGCAGCTCGCCAAAGCCGCTCAACTCCTTGGAGGAAAACAAGTGAAGTCCTTTTCAAGTGAAGGTACATCTCCTTTGAGTTTTATGTAAAGGAATGAGTGGGTGCTGGTGTCATTTTATATCATGGAAATGGTATACTCTACCAGTCAAAAGTTTGGGTTTGGTGTAAGCCTGAAAAAACTGGTTGAAGAGAAGATATTTGACCAGTGGTCTTTGAAACAAAGGATCTTGTTGGAAATTAACACTTGACTCCCTCTTCCTCTTCCTTTGAGACAAGTCTCACACTTCTCTCTCTCTCTCTCTCTCTCTCTCTCTCTGTGATTATCATGTTTAGTATCATTTTAAAGGTCTCAGGGTGACTGGTACAAATGTCTCATTCCCAAAGAAGTAAATCAAAAGGTAATACATTTCTTAAGAATATAGAAGCATCTTGCACACAGAAGGGTGTGTCTTTGAGTTAACACCTTCTGACCATTTTTCTGAATGCAAATTTAGCACTAGCAAATGGTCACCCACGGGTAAATTCCCACTGGAAGCCCATGTTTACATTTGAAATGAGGCCTGGCTATATAATGAAATGCAACGAGCGATCAAGGCTTTTCTTGTATCTCAGATCAGCCCGTGAATCAGTTGCTGAGACGATAATGTCGGGTAAAGGATTTTCCTCTTTGTTCTAGAACATTAGATGGATTGCATTGATCTTTCAATTGACTATGAAATTGTAATTGTAATTTAATAATAAATTGTTATATTTGATTATTCGAACATACTTTGACTTTATTTTCATTAGAGTTAAAAGGAATAGTCAAACATTCACGTAGATTTAATGATGCACAGATGTCATTGAAAAAACCTTTTCATTTATGGAGTCAGATGAATTAATACATAAGTTAAAATGTATTGCATTTAATTAAAAATCCCTTTGCCATGAGAAAAGATGGAACACGCGTGAGACCTTCACCTCTAACCGCCATTGGATCAATTTAGACCGCCTTATAATTGGTAAAACATTTTTAATGCTCTGTCTATGCTCACCATGGCTGCAAATATTTGATCAAAAATGCAGTCAAAACAGTTATTTAAGTTGTAATAATATTTCACAATATTACTGTTTTTTATTTTAATATTCAAATTTTATTTTTGTGATGGAAAATCTGCATAATTTTTCAGCATCAATACTCACATGATGAAATCATTGTAATATGCTGTTTGGCTGCTCAAGAAACATTTCTTATTACATTATTATTAATGTTGAAAAGTGTTTTTTGAGGAACCCGTGATAAAAGAAGATAAAAGAAAGTGCAAGAAAACAACATTTATGTCTTTTGTTAACCTTAAAAATTTCTTTATTGTCATTTTTGACCAATTCATTGCATCCTAGCTGAATAAAAGTATTTCTTTCTTTTATAAAAATCTATACATGAACCAAAAATCTATGAAAAAACTTATTTCTTAACATATGAAGACAATACAGCTTCATATTATTTAACATCAGTTGCAAACAAAATACTCAAAACTGGAAAATCATTATTGATAATTTTGACTAAATTCTGATAGGAAGAACCACATTCAAAGCTATTGTAAAGTAGCTTTTAATACATTTTGATGAACATGTTATTTTTTCTAACTTGTAAAATCCATCACTGTCTAATCAAATGAACATGGTGGCAGAATAAGCTTATTGGTGAGTGTTTTTATCACCAATGGTGTTGGATAGTTTATGTGCTAAAAATTTGATTTTCAAGCTGATTTTCCTTCATATAATCATTTAATTTACATTGTCATGAAATATTTGGCATTTAATGTCAGAGTAAATGTCAAATTTAATTGCATGCCAGGTCTTAATATTTTTGTGTGTTTATATAGAATTATTCCAACACTTCGTGGTCGGATCAACCCTTAGAGATGACAATGAAACATTTCCTGAGCAGTGAAATGAAGTGTCTCTTCTTTCTTTGCTTTTCTTCCATCACATAGAAGAGCATTACAAAGCATTCAGCTGGAGCATAAGAGGGGTATTATGAAATCATACATTATGAAACCAGCACTTTCAGTGACAAATGTAGCTCTTGCAGAGTCTTTCGACTCCTCCAGAAATCACACCAACAGACAAACAATGTGCAGTGTCTCATCTTCTGAGCAATCAAAGTTGAAACAGAGTAGAATTAAAGTAATTGAAGCGGTTTCTCATACGCTGCACATAGCTGAAAAAGGGCAAAATGCAATTTTCTCGGAGAATGTGGGCTGTGCGTTTGTCTCACAACAAAGAGGGGAGCTTTGTGTTTTCTACAATTAAAAGGATCCCCAGGGCTTGACGAAGTGTAGCAGACTACTTCTATATTAGGTCCTTCCAGTGTCTTTGTCTATTGTGTGCAGTGTTGTACATTAATTGTATTAAAACTATAAAGATAGTTTGGTAAATTAAACTCAAAATTAAAGTTTATGCTTTTGCTTTCCTTCGTAAAACTTTTCCGCTCCCTTGAGAAACTTTGCGTTTGCTCGCAAAGAACTCAAACGTTTCTAGGGGACGCAAAACATCTGCTATCTATTTTTTTTGTCCCTTTGATTGAACTTTTTTTGTATGTAACTGAAAAATGTTTGAGTTGAAGTACTGAAAGTAAAATAAAAATAAATGAAAGATAAATCGAAATAAAAACGAATACAAATGATAACGGCACATAAAATGACTTTAAACTGAAACTATAAAAATAAAAGTGATTTCAAAATATTAATACTATACTAGTGTATATATATATATATAATATATACTACTAAAATAACACTGAGAGTAACAAAGACAACTATCTGGTTAATCAACAACTTAACTGACAGTATTTTAATTTCACACTGCTTTTCAAAGAATCGTAATGCCACATCTGATGATCATGAATGAATTCAAGCGAGCTTTAGACATAACCAGTGAATATATAATGATTACAATGCCTAGTTCTCTTACGAGAGCTTCTCTCATACTGCGTGAGATATCTTACGCTCGGGGAAAACCTCTTTTCCACGAGATATTGAAGCCAAAAATTATCCTTAAAGTCCCCATGAAATCAAAATTGACCATACTTACTTTGTTTGCCTAAATTGATCGTTTTGTGGTGAACAATTCATACATGCAAGTCAATCCACACACAAAAAAATGTTTGGCTCCATAATCTTTAATCAAATTTTGAAAATGCCCCTCCCCTCTGCATTGGAGGACCTTGCCCGATGACGTAGGCTTTACGGTTTGGGTGTCTCCTTAACATCCATAACCACACCCCTCCAACTGACAGCTGCTGTGTGTTTGCGAGCGCCGAGCGAGCATTGATTGACAGCCTGTGTAAACTTGCGTCATCCTCCATTTCAGAATGAAACACCCATTTTTCTAGATCCAATCAGGTGCTAGTTGGAAAAAAAAGCCACGCCCACTATTTTGCCTCATTTAGTATTCCGTTTCTCTCAGAAATACGTCACAACACTGGAGAAAAGTCGTTTGCAACTTCCGGTTCACGGGGACTTTAATTTTGAATTAATGTAAAACGTGTTGCGGCAGCATGCAGACACAGGCAAGACGGCTCGCGTGCATATAGTGCATATTTCTCGTGTTAAACTGATTATCACTCTTGTGTGTTAAACACAATCTACTTAATAGACAGCTTCATTATAAAGATAAACAACAAATCCCCAAAATATATGATCATAATCTATGACAAAAAATGCTATTATAAACTAGATTAGTGAATAATACATATTGCTCTTTGTATTGTTGTAAAATACATTCATGAAAAACAATATAACAAAAATGAAAAAGAATTACTTTAGATTTAAGAAAAGTTCAAAGCACAAAGGAAATACATATTGATGGAAGGACAGTGTATTAAACAGTATCTATCTATACAATAGTTTATTGAGCCTTTTCTTTAAACAGTTTTAAATTTCAGTTACTGTGTGCGTGAAGAACAATAGTGCTCTGACTGTAGTGTTGTGATCTAATCGACAGCGTCCGACACCTGGTAGAAAGTAACACGATTAAGTTACAGCAATAAAGTCCAGCAAGATAATGTTGTTTTATGCGTAAACATAGACCTTTATCTACAGATAAAGTATAATAATTAACATTGAATCATCTTGAAGATAGTTTCATCATTGACTGTAACCGAATGCGACGCGCTGTTTGAGTGCTGAATGGAAAATGTCTGACAGAGGGAAATGTCCGCGAGAGGGAAAAGTTTACGTGATCTTGAATTTAATGACTTAAATATTAATTTCTCTCTCACATAATGGCTTCAGAAAAATTATAATAGAGTGCACGAAAACGTCATGGTACTTTAGAATGTTTTTGTGCCTTCTGTGGAGCTTAACAATAACATAATAGTATACGCACAATATCAGATTTGGATCTGCTTCGTCTGATCGATACCCGATCCCGCAAAAATGGCTGGATCGGAGCCGATACCGATCCTGAGTATCGGATCGGGACATCCCTACGCCAAAATGGGCATGACCTGAGCCTATAAATACAGCTCGATCGGCTGATATAATCAGATTTTTCATCTCTTTAACAAAGCTCATGCATCGCTGGATCCGAATTGAAGAAGCCGCGTTGTCTGAGAAAATCTTTCTGCGGGACGAGCCTTTGACATAGTGGGCGTGAAGCGCCCCCTTTAGATCTGACATCACCAAGGGTCTCTCTCGATAGGCTGCTGCTGTTGCCTCAGGACAGCCAATAAGCACGTGAGCCGACTTGCCTATGTCTGTATGCTGCCGCAACTCGTTTTACATTAACTCAAAATCAAGGATAATTTTTGGCTTTAATATCTTGTGGAAAAGAGGTTTTTCCCCTATATTATGCAGTACTCGTTCCCTCTTCTAGAGAGAACCGAGGTTACATTGTAACCGGGTACATTCTCAATAGAAATGAATACAGATGTAATATATTACCATATTACTAGTCATTTATTTGTTTATTTCGTGTGATTAATTGCTTCATTCTTTGATTAAATGTCTCTCTAGTCACCCATGTGGTTGTACCAGATGTTCCCATCATGCCCTCTACCCTGACCACTCTGCAGGGAGTCCTCAACGGCTGCTGGATTCTCCGTTTCAGCTGTAAGTGCACAGTAATTAGTCAAAGCTTTACATAAGATAGTTTAGGCTTAGTTTGGTAAGTTTATATGAATATTAGTACTGTTCAAATGTCTCTATCTGAACTCTTATAATACAGTCCCCAAAGAAATAGGTCTACTTGCGCCTGCTAATGTCCAGATTTGCAAACATGTGTTTTGATGAGGATTTACTCTTGATAAGCAAAGTCTATTTCGATTGGGCAAACCATATGTTTGGAAATGGTCTTCTATTCTATTTAATACAGCTATAAATTTAGCATGTGGTGCTTTTCTCATGAATTGATCAGCGATTGATATTTCCATATGATTTCTCGAATCTTCATTTTAATAGAAGCCATGCCCATTAATTTAGCTCTGATTTAAGTAATCCCTTCCTTTTTTGAGTCTGCCTGTGCTGAATTAATTTCGCTCTATGCGTGAGCAACATCAGAAGTGCTCTGCCGTTCTCGCAGCCTAGAGGTTTCATTGCTGGTGAGGTGTTTGCTCTACAAGCTATCTATTTTTTTGATTTTGGTTATTGTTAACATATTTGCTATTCATATTTAATATCCAGCCCACAGTAGACAACACCTTTTGATGGCAGTTTTATATCAGTTCTCCCTATAGATAGGGACAGTTGTAAAAAGCTTGTGGTGGAAATGTTACTTGCTGGATATTGGAAATGCTTGATGTATCATGATATAAATCTATGGTGTGTTTCACGTGCTCCAGATTTACTTCACATTCACCTAATTTAAAGCATTTCTAACCTGCTCTAGTTATTATGCAAATCTCTGATAAGGTTTACGAAAGGGACATAAAAACTATTTTACAGTAGTCTAAAAACTATTGCCAGCTACACACTAAAACTAAAGCTTTATTATTATTAATTATAAATATTATATAATATAATATTAATATATTATATATGTAATAGTAACAATCATATTTAGAATAAAAATGGAAATATTGTTAGAATGGAACAGTTATATTACAATATTTTCATATAATTGTTTTACTATTATTATTTAATAATTATTAACAATATATTATAATATTATTCAAGTGATGAGAAAACAAATCTGAATAAGAATGAAAATATTGTAATGCATTACAAAAAAAAGCTTTTGTTCCATTTTCTATAACAATATTTTCAAATAATAATAATCATCATTATTATATTATAAATCAGTATTAATTTAAATATGAATACTGTTATTTAATCAATGTTTTCATGTAATAGTTTATTATAATTATTATTATTGATAAAAAAATATGACAATTTTTTCAACTTGCATGTTCTAAAATTGCACTGAGACACTATTCTTTAAAACAAGTCCAGGTATGAGTGTAAAGAGAGCTTTAAAAAATAGACATCTGAATTTGAGCAGGTATCAACAATATTAAAGAGTAACTATGTTCTTTGGCAGAGCATGTGTGATGACTTAAAGGGGCTATAAGAATTTTTATGTATTATTATACTGGTTATAGCTTTTTTATTGCCAATGTGTGAACATCTTGTAACTAAACTTATAAAACATGACTTTCTAGGTTGTCTATGAAAGCCTGTAGACTTATTTTTATATGAAGGACTAAAAAGCATAAGGAATATCAAAAGGATGTTCCTGAACTTCCACTCTATGACTTATGAAACGAATTCTTAAAAAAGAACTTCGCCTTTTTATATCAGGCATTGAATCACATTTTCTTGTATATTACGTGTGCTCGAGTTGCTGGCTGTAATTAATTTAATGGCCACCGGTGTCGCTATTACCAAGGGTTTAATAACAAGGGTTTTTGAATTCTACATGTAGCCCCTTGAAATTGGCGACTCTGTTTTTTTTTACCCTTCAATCTTTGTAGCAGTACCATAAAATGTTGCATTTTTATTAAATCGCCATTTAAATGACATCGCACTGTGATTTTTGTGCAACCATAAAATAATGTCTCAAATGGAAGAATAAGTGAGTGTACATCATTCTGTTGAGCTCTCTGTCTGTGCCACAATGTTTGAGCTCTTGATGTTCTGCCTGAGCTTTTCTGTATGGGTCTCCATGGCTCACTGCATCATGGTTCAGTGCCCATGAGTGTGTGAGCTGCCAGCGCCATGATCCACAGCCACCCACCGCACACACGCATGCTGAGCTTCGATGTCTCCCATCATCGTGAATCTAATTAGCTAATATGCTAATGGCTCTTTGGTGCTCGGCTAACAACCTGGCCCTATCGTCCAGAGAGAGAGTCGGATTAACCCTGGGATGTAGCATTGTCACCGCCACCGCCCTCACGGGGTCCCGGGAAATGAACACCATAATTAAAGAGGCAGAGGAAGTGCAATTACAGCTTATGATTACTGTGGAGGATTCTGCTTGTGCTTGCACTCGTTCCTATAGGTGTTTTGAGAATATGGGCTTGGCTGGTTATAGAGATAGCGATACACAGTGACACTTTGGATGCAGGAATGCTAATCCTGCTAATGGCTCAGTGGCACTCTTCTTAATCTAAAGTGGGTTATTTCATTACGATAAGAGACTACAGTGGGATGTGGACAAAAATTGTTGGTCACCCCTCCAATTTGATTTCCATTCTTGAGGTATTGCGCTTTATTTTATTCTATATTAGTATTGTTGTATATGAAAATAGTGAATGTACAACATTTTAATTGACTAAATTAAAATGAAAAGGGTTGAAAAGCAAACTTAAGGTCATGCTTATTTTATGTTAATATAATAATGTCAATAACGTAAAAAAAAATTATATAAAGCAAAGGAAAAGCCAAGTTTCTGAATGACAGATCCTATTGATGTCTGTTACGGCTGGCTCATATACCACAATATAAAAGAGGCAAACAACAAATTCTTCAAACATTAAACCAATTTATTTACAAAACAAGAAAACAATTGGTCGATGAAGAAGAGAAGTGGTCCAAGCACTGAGCCCTAAAGGCACCCCAGTAGCTAGATGTTGCAATTGGGACCACTCACCCTTCAAAGACACCCTGAAGGACCTACTTGAGAAGTAAGACTTGAACCACTGCAGTGAGATTTCCATTGTCACGAGCTGGGGGTTAACCATGTCAAAAGAAGCAGACAGATCCAGTGATGATGATTTGGAAGCTGCTTTTGCCAGTCGCAGAGCTTCAATAACCGAGATCAAGGCAGTCTCGGTCGAGTGGCCGCATTTGAAACCAGACTGGTCATTGTCCAGGAGGTTGTTCTGTGTGAGAAAGGTGAACGTGACTTTCTCAAGTGTCTTAGCAATGAATGGAAGAAGGCATAACGGTCTGTAGTTTTCTAAAAAAAAAAAAAATGCTGGATTTAGAGTGGGTTTCTTAACCCTTAAACAGGCAAGAGTGGAAAATGATCAACAAAAAGTAATGTCATGTCACTTTATATCATCTGAAATTTAGTAAAATATATCCAAAGGAATTTTTTGTTAAATATTTGATATAGTTTGGATTTTATGAGATGTCTCCCCTAGGATACATTGCCCTATATGGTATAAAAAAGCCAGTCATCAATATTTCTATGATTTATTTGTTGCAAAAAAAATGTATATGGTAAGTATATTGCATGTATTATATTTCTTGAGGCATACACATTTCTTGTATTTTTACTGAGCTGAATTGTTTTGAAATGAGAATGAAAATATTGTAATGCATTACAAAAAAAAGCTTTTGTTCCATTTTCTATAACAGTACTTAATCAGTAATCATTATTAAATTATAAATCAGTATTATTTTAAATATGAATACTGTTATTTAATCAATGTTTTCATGTAATAGTTTATTATAATTATTATTATTGATAAAAAATATGACAATTTTTTCAACTTGCATGTACTAAAATTGCACTGAGACACTATTCTTTAAAAATAAGTCCACTTCTCAGTCCAGGTACAAGTGTAAGAGAGCTTTAAAAAAAAAAATAGACATCTAACTTTGAGCAGGTATCAACAATATTAAAGAGTAACTATTTTCCTTGGCAGAGCATGAGTGATGACTTAAAGGGGCTATAGTTAGTTAGTTAGTTAGTTATTTTTATTTAAGTGTCTTGCACTTACATGCCCAGCCCAAATGGGCTTAGAAGACACTAATTACATAAAACATACACCAAACACAAGATGACCATCATACAAAAAAAAGACAAAAAAGAAAACACAAGAAGATCACCAACACAAAAGGTACATACAAGGCACATTACCATAATTTTCTTAATATAAACAAAAAAACAAAAAACAAAAACAAAACACGACACCGTCAAATTATATCAGGATATAAATTTCTTTGCCTAAGTTTCCACGCCTTATCCACATATCTAGCCAAACTATAGATTTCATTTTCAAAGAGCCAATTCAACATATCCCCATCCGTCATCCAAAACATATCAGGCTTTTTACATTGAATCCTCTCAAACAAACTCACTCTTAATTCGTGATATAAAGGACAAAAAAACAAAAAATGCCATTCATCCTCAACAACCATTAGATCACATAAACCACATAGTCTATCCTCTTCTAGGACACCTTTATAGCGTCCCACCTCGATCTGTAAGGGCAACACCCCAGCTCTGAGCTGGGCACACAAAGACCTCTGCGATCTAGTTAGCCAGCATTTGACATAAGGCTCTGCAAAATATTCATTCTTAAAGTGAACGTAACTTCTCAATTTAGGCTTATTTAACACCTGCCGTAACCATTGTTCTTTATAAGAGTTAAATAAAAACTGCCTGACCTCAGATATATTACATTGTAAAGTATTTGTAAATATATACTGTATTTTTACTGATGAGAATATTTCAAGGACATCCATTGACCAAGGATAATTATGAGCTTTATCCCACTCAAAAACTTTCCGAGTAAGTCTATCTTCAGATAATCTTGTAAAACGATTCCACAACCTTATTATTTCCACCCTTTGTTTCACAATACAAGGCTCCCAACCCATATCTCCCTCAATTGCAACTCTAGTAGTGAACCTATGCACTCCAAGGAAACACCTCATGG